CCAACTCTAAGCTTTACCAAAAAAGTTAAGTTTTAAGCCTAGCATTGGAAGTAGACAGGGTGTCTACCTCATGATCTAAAACTGGTAGTTGGTTCCACAGGAGAGGAGCCTGATAACTAAAAGATCTGCCCCCTATTCTTCTTAAAGAAATTCTAGGAACCACTAGTGGAACACGTTCCGCCAAAAGTAAATTCCACTGTTTTGCTGCATCTTCTTCAAAGTGACAGAAAGTCACAAGTTTGGTATATAAAAAACGTAATTAATTCTAAAATGAGAGGTCCTCTTTCAAATTTGTTTCATTTGACCATATAAATTTGTTTTAAGATATGAGTAAATGTTTAATGTTATGATAACCTGCGTCACAAAGCTACAGTCATGCACATGGGGCATTACTGTCTTGCCATAGCAACAACTGATTTTTCCTTTTCCGTTGGAGAGAAGGGGCTGTCCCATTCTTGTTTATACCTCCCCAACCACCACCACCAGCTTCAACCAAGGCTCCTTCCACAGCTGCGAGTGAAATTTCATTGGGAGTGACACTTGACAGTTTATGGTTAGTGGTTAGGGACTGGTTTGGGAATGGGCGGATGAATTCTTGCTAATTTAATGATGATCAAAGTGACATCAGAAGCCAAGTCCAAATACAAAATACATTAAACCAAAAATTACAAGACGTCAGAGTATATATGCCAAACAGAACAAGGTTTGGTGATAAACATATTGGAAGCATTTGTGGACAAAAGAATCCAGAAGGGAGATGGGAAAGGAGACTGACACAAGAGGGCAACAAAGGGTAAACAGGAAATACATAAGTACTGAAATAAAACCAGAAAACCACACAAAATGGAAATAAAACCAATGAAAAAAAAAAAAAAACTTTGACAGAACCAAAAAGTGCAAAACAGTCACTGTCAGAGTTATGTGGAGGACCCAGATGCAGAGAGGCTGAGGTAAGTTCTTGCAGTTTTAATAGTTAATACAAATAATTGAGGCAAAATCCAAAAGTCCAACTTAAAATGTTACACAGACCAGAACAATGGCGACATCAGGGGAAAACAAGCACGACGAGCCTGAGAGTGACGTGGTGAGAAGACAACAGCGACGACAGGACCAGCAACAACAAGGAACCAACAAGGAATGACAGCAGAGGGAGAGTATATGTAGCTGACTGAGACAAAGGCAGGGCTAACGAGCTGATAAGGAGCAGGTGTGAGTGGAGACCACAAGGAAGCCAAGGGGAAAGGAGAAAACACAAGAGGGCAACAGAGGACAACAACAGAAAAACCTGAGAACTTAAGTAATTCTAGAAACACTAAGTAGGAAATAAACCAATGAAACACAAAGGAAAAACAGAAAGTAAGACCGTGACAGGATCTAAAATAAGAGAAAATTGCTTTTTCTGTGAGCTTTCCTCAGAACTTTGACTGCAGCAGTTTTGATCAGCTGAAGGCTTTTCTCTACCTTTTGTGGATTTACTGAGAGCAAGTAATTCCAATTCAAGTCTAGTCTAGAAGGCATTGGCATTACGCTGTTTTTACGTACTAGCAGTTTTAGCAGTTTTTTTGTTATATCACGTTTTTAGCTTTTTCTGTACAATATTCTGAATGACATGCCTGTTTAATAATGCAACAGTCATACTAACCATATTGTACTGAACACATAAACTAGGAATTTGTACATCCTGATGCTTAAACAAATAATTTGAATACAAAAAAAATGCTAAGTTAAGAAAAATAGATAATATTCCGCAGTTTAATTTGTGATTCATGAGTTAACTAAGGACCTTTGGGCTATTAATAAACTTACTCACAACTGAATATGATGTAATTTACCAAATTAGAACAGAACTTATCAAAATTAACAGTTGCTTTATGGTGGGGATGGGGAGTGGGACCTTCGTTGGGGCACCGCAAAGCAATTGCACTCAGGTCAATCAAATCGCCTGTACCACACCTGATACATAAATAATGATCCAAGTATGGATCTGTATTTCACTTGGAAAACCTGAAGCCCCTGTCACATCTTGATGATTAAGCCAGATGTATGACTGAAGTCCCAGAATCTTCTAATACGCAGGCATACGCTGAACTTTTTGTGCATTTTTTTTCCAATTTTGGGTATATACATAGAGTATTCATAACAAGTCTAGAACTTATGTCCAACGGCAGCCTAACTTATGCATAGCACACGGCAGCATAATGCCATGGAAATTATACACAAGCCAGTGTCCCGAGGAGGGCAGCACTGCGCCAGGAGGCGCCCAGCCTGCATAAAAAGATTTCTTTGATCGCGGTTTTAACCTAACTACTGTTTACCACCTGCTCAAAAAGAAAAAGGAAAGAAAGAAGGTTTGCAGTCGCTGCACATTCAAAGTCATGTCTGCTAGGAAGCTTGTTGGTCATGGCTGTGGGCGTGAATGCAGGGAGGATCCATCACACTCACCGTCTCGCTCACCCTATGATGGAGATGAAGTCTGTAGGAGTACAGACGGTTTCCTCCTGTGTAGCCCTTTCATACCAAAACGCTGCCAATACGCCACTATACAGTAGTTGTAAGTTAAAAACAAGTTCAGCGGTTGTCTCAAACACATCAAATATGCTGATATGTGTTGGAGACAAGTCATTGATCAGTTACGCTTAGGTTATGCACAAGTTACTCATAGATTTTCGATAAGCTAGATGCCACGACTTATAAGTAACTTACACTTAACGTATGTCAACGATCACATAACTTACCTATAACTTATGACCCATGTATGAGTAGCCTGGGTGCCAGTCCGAACTTAGTCCCGCCCACAAGGTTTGAGTTCGGGGAAGTTCAGTCTGGCTCTGCTCCATAGTAGCGCGAGTATTATCGCCCACTGTCAGGCGATCCAATCAAATTGTCAGGGCGGGCTTTATACGATGATGGACAGATGATCAAGAGTAACGTAATCAGCCACGTGACCAAAGCGCGCTTGGGTGACAACAATAATGGCTGCCGCTGGAGAGTTTGGGTGAGTAGATTCTGCTATTAGGTCTGTTCTAGAAGATATCGACAGCAAATTAATTTTAAAAGAGGAACAGAGAAACGCGATCAAGTCTCATCTTCTTATTCTAGGCGTGAAACTGCACGCTTTGATTTTTGTGGACAACAACTATGCCTCGCTTAACATACGTCACGCACTCCGTTGCTCTTATTGGTTGTAGATCTATCCAATTGAGTGCAGAGGCATTTTTTTTCCTGGTTCGTTCGAAACACGCCCCATAATCACAGCTCTATGGAGCAGTATCAGACTCATATTCTGACTAGAATTGAGTAGGACTACGTCAGGCTAATGTATGAGTAGGTCGATGCGTGTCAGTGTGATCCAGCGTGATTTACCGTCCTCATACCTGATACAAAACTGACCCATAATTTATCCAACGTACGCCAGTTTTTTGTCAGATCTTTTGTACATAAGGCTGGCTAGATAGTCGAGTTGTGATAGGGGCTTAAGAGACAGATTTTCATACAGAATGGCTACACACATGCAGCTTACCTTCTATCTAATATTATTTACTCCTAACTAATGTCCTTTATTAGTTATCCAACTGCAGTTGCTATGGGTATGGTAGTGACGTTTTCAAGTCCAAAAGGCGTTCAACAAGATGAACCAGCGTATTTCATGGGATCAACAAGATGCACTCCCAGCATAGTTTTAAGCACATTGCGTTGGAACTAACATGCCCTTTGTGATGATTGTAGAGTGGACAGTCAGTCTGAACTAACAGGATGCAACTCTAATGTGCTTCAGCAATACAATTAAAAAAGAGAAAGAAAATTCAACTTATAAATGCACGCGAGATCATGCGACAAAAAATTCCATCCCAAACCTCCCATGATCAGGTGCGTCTCGTAAGATTTCTGACGGAGGGTGAGATTGTGACATACATGAGACTTCAAATGTTTTATCTGTGGTAATACAGGTTTAGGACTTATAAATGCTAATTTCTAGGTTTAAACTTTGTAAAAAGCAAAAATCTACAAATACAAGCCTACAAACTCTGATGAACCTGCTACACTGCTTACCAGCTGGTGCTGGTGATACACCTAATGGTTGTTTAAGAAGTGTGTTTAAATGAAAAAGGAGAAACCATTTATAGAACTCGAAATCTTTGCACAAGCAGCATAATGTTTAGTCAATGTTTCTGTTTATATCTTCTTCTAGTTTAAAGGCAATTCAACCTGGACAGACATACGCAGAGAAAAACTGCAATTAGAATAGTATTCAATTTATAAATACAGGTAACGCATTTGTATTCTTCAAAATATTTCTACCTAAGGAAAACCAGCTGATTACAAGGACATATTGACTCTCTGCAATTCCTTGCACTGAGCCTGTATGTAGCAATAGTGGAGAGGAAAACTCCATTATAACAGGAAGAAACCTTGAGCAGAACCAGGCTGAGTGTGAGCGGCCACCTTTCGAGGCCGACCAGGGCTCCAGGAGACTTGGATGAGTAACCTAGCAAAAGTATTAGAGTAGTCTTTCCCCAGGGCCTAGACACTGATGGTGTAATAAGCCAGAGGATGATTGGGACAGAATAGTATGAGAATGAGGGAGGAGATGGGGTAGAGGTGGGTGAAGGCTTGCTTGCATGGAGGAGAGAGAAGCTAGGCGAGGAGATTAATGAAGGGGATTTTGAAAGATGATTGAGAAGATGTGGCCCCCGAGCTGATTGGCTGGAGCTAAACAAAGGGAAATTGCAGGGTGTTTCAGGTGAAGCTGATAAGAGTCTTCCTGATTGAGTTTTTGAGTTTTATTCTTGTTTTAACTTCCCAAAATTGTAAGTGATATAATTGTGACTCAGCAAGAATGGTCTCATTGCCTCTCAAAAATCTTAAAATGAAAATAAAAATCATGCTGATGATGAAGAAAATAAATTTTTTGGGTTAAACTATTACTAACTAATCTGCTTGTCTTGTGCAAAGTTAGGTATGTTTAGCTAAAAAAAAACACAGCTTGATAACCAGACAAGTTCTGTCCTTAATTTTTATTGCACCATCCCAGTACAAACACATTAAAAAGAAGAAAAAAAACTTAAATATGCTTTTAGGAACAGGCAAATATAACATAAAATAATATACAAAATACACATGTTCTATCATCGTCATAAATGGAAATAATACATAAAAATTAACACAAGCTCAACAGGTGCCACCTCTGTGCTTCATCACATCCCACTGTTGAACACATGAGCAGAAACAGCCTCAGCTGAGGTAAGCACCTTCTAAAACTATGAATAAATCACAGTTTAGACACAGTAAACAAACAGGTTTCAATTTACAACGCAGTATCAGTCATTAACACATGAAGAGCATTATCTGTTCATGTGTGAATTTAAATATATTATAAACTATTTACAAAGAGGTGCTTTTCTATTAGAACCAACAACTAGGATCTTATCATCATTCTAAGTGGGAATCATCATGACTTTTTGCCAGCATTGCAGTAAAGAACCATAGAAACCACCATGGCTGCAATCTGTGGGAGAAGAAAACTCATTAATGGTTGATCAGATTTATTAGAAATTTTTTTTAACTTTCTTTTAAGTATATGAAGCAAAAAAAAATGTTAAAACATGAAGAAAAAAACAAAACAAATGGTGTAACAATGTACCTCAATAGCAGCTATTCCGAAAGCTACGCCAGCAATGATGAAAGAGTTATCCTCCAACACTGTCACCAGTTTAGTAAAGCAACCTGGAATGTCCTGAAATGGAAATGGATGGATTTTAGTTGAGTAAAGGACAGGAAGCCAGTGCTTCTTTATATTTTTGAATGAAGCTAAACAAAATAGAGTTGGTCTCATACCACTTGTTGCACTTCCGTCAAACTACATTTCTCATCCGGTGTTCCGCAGCATGGGCCGGGGTATTCACCTGTCAGCTGGTTAAAAGGCGAGCCATCAAAGTCAGTGTAGTTTTTGTATCCACAGCACCTGAACTGCAAAAAAAGTAAAGTATTAATTAAAGAGCTACTTTACAAAGAAATGCCTCTGTGAAACACAGCTTGCAATAAGCTGATTAACAAGGAATAAATTCAGCACCTCCTTCATGGCTGTATCCCACAGCGTGGTCATGTCATTTGGATTCCCATATTTGCTTTGAATGGCCGTTTTCACATCATCTTCCAATTCCTCAAACAATTCATCCACCTGAGAATGAGAAACAAACAGTAACCTGTCATGCAATGAAATCACTTTCTTAATGAGATCTGTAAACCTTAAGACCCAAAAAGGGCCTGGTTTACTTTTCAGAAGCTCTTACAACATCAGTGAAGACAAACAGCACAATGGCTCCTGCAACCCCGACAAAGAAGATGATCAGCATAATGCTGAAGAACTGAAGGGACAGGAAACAACATACTTTTAATTAGTGCCCAGTAAATAAAACAAAATGGTTACAATTTGCCATATTATATATATTTAAATTGTGATTAACGCACCGTCAGCAGCATGCATCTGCTCTCCTTGACAGCTCCGCAGCATCCCAAAAAGCCAACAATCAAAAGAAAAGTGCCCACACCGACCAACACGTAGCCTACAGTGACCACTTGGAACACCTTGGTTGGGGTATTTTCCACAGATTCAAGTAAACCCAGAAGCGTATCGCTGTCCAGCACCACCCATATACCAACTCCCAGACCGGCTATGCCACACAGCTGCAAGAATAACAAAGCATTAGAGAAGATCTGAAACAAAATGCAACAGCATGACATTTCAACACATTAATGATGACCCTGCTGCTGCTGCACATGCAAATATTTGTCAATGAACAGTGGTATTACCAGAGCTAGAAATAGTGTGATATTAAAAAACTTCTTGCAGAGATTTTCAACATAATAAATCAAAATGGTAACATATCAATTCAGGTTATTTACTATACAGCACCAATTCACAAAACATGTCATCTCAAGGGACTTTACAATTCAACCAGATATAGTTGGTTGAATTCAAAATGTCTGATATTGTTGTTCCCATACTTACAAAGATGGCACCATTGAAGATGAACATCATGACTTTGAGGAGACCTGTGCACATCTTGGCTGATTTTTGCTGATGGACAGAGGAGAAAAAGATCAGTTTAGAAAGATTCTGTCTCTTAACTACTTTATTTTTGATTTCCTGTTTCACATTTTCTAAAGAAAAAAAAAAAGAAGATTTGCACAGACTAAAAACACAAGTGGACTCAGAATGGGACAAACAGGATTAGGTTTGGTGAAATATTAACCCCGGCAATCTGCAGGGAAAAAAAAACAAACCCAGAGGGCATCTGTAATCTTCTTTAAGTATTGCACATTTTTCATGCTCACAGAGGGCATAGTTTCTATTGAAGTATCATTTAGACTAAATACTCAAAAGGCATATTACTTCAGAAGTAGTAATTTTAGTATAAATAAATGTTATATGTTAACTTGTTAGACTACTGTAGCTATGTAAACATATCAAAATAACACCTCACGTTCACTCAGCAAAAGAATTTAGATTGTCGGAACTGATGGCTGACCTCACAGCCAAGGGTTTATGGTTTCAAACAACACCTTGTTCTAAAGGTCCAGCACTGTAATCTTCTCTAAACAAAAGCACCATAAAAAGCATCCTTGAACCAAATGTTGCACCATTAATACTTTTCCTCCTTTGCCGTTGAGCTGGGTTTTATAGTTACTGACACAGAAGGATAATTTATCCTGCTCCTTTTACAGTGTACCGGTATGTGTTTTTTCTTTTGACAGAAATGTACACATTAAAATTAAAAAAAAAAAATTTGTTCTGTTTCATGGAAAAGAGTTGGATTTTCAGTTTGTTAAAACTGGAAAAAAAATTATGTGTTTTTTATTTTGTGTGTGTATTCAGGAAAGATGAAAACCAACAGTCTTGTGGCAAAAAGACTGTTGGCAAAAATACTTTAACAAATAAGTATTCTGGTAAAAGGTACAATAAAGCATATGGTCATACCTTTACTGCAGAGATGACTGAGTGTCCGTTGAGGTCTGAAACTTCAGGAGTGTGTGTTCAGGGATGCTTGAGGCGCCCTTTTATCATCCACAGCTTTCACCCAGACACACGCAATCTAAAGCTTGTGACCAATACGTCATCAGTAATCTGATAGCAGGACTAGGAGAGCAAAGTCCTGATAAGCAAAGTCCATCCGAATTCAACTTTTATGGGAACCATGTAAACTGTTCATTCAAATTTAGCTAACTCATCAGGTTGAGCATATTCAACAATTACAACAATCAAATTGGGATTTTAACATATAACTCTAATGAATAATAAAAAAAGAAAATTAAGAAAATATCACATGACTTGACAACTTGTGTCAGAGGTTAATTACTGACGTAAAAACGTCACGGAAACATGTGGTAATGTATGAGGAGTTGGATTCCTTTATTGCTTTATTGTAACGATTTCAAAGATAAATGGTTTGTCTCATAGACATAGGATAAAGCTTAAACTCATTTGCTCCATCTCATATCTACAGTATGTTCGAGAAATTACATCATCCTGCAATATACACATGAATTTTTTTTTTACGGCAGTCAAATATGTACTTTTATTTACAGATTTTTTTTTTGTTTTTTTTTTTGTTATAGACCAAGACAAGCTAACTTGGTATTCACACTGCTTTGCTCTGATACCCACAAATAAAATCCAGTCCAACTTCCGGTTGTCTCACTCTTCAGGTGTCCCCTAAACTCGAGTCTACCTGTCTATAATATATGAACAGCAGACCAACGTTCCTGCTTTCAATTACATAAAAATATTCCAAGCTTCGACCACTTGGAAGAGTTTTAGTTTATTTCTTTGTCCAATAGCAGAGGATAGTGCTACAGCAAACATGTTTGAGAGACCTGGCGTTTACGGCATAATAGGAAGAAAACAGATATTGTTGAATGAAAGCCGTATAAGAATTAGTTTGTCATGAGACGGGTAGGAAACTCATCAAAGATGTGGAAGGAGCAGCTCTGTTTAGATTCTTTAGACCAGTTGAACTTCATTCAAAGTACATTCTAGAGTGGATCAATTAACTCAGCATATTACCCCTGCACAAAACACAGGGATGTTTTTCTTCACCAGGGAAATTGGTTAATCTTGATGAGAGGATAAAGGGTGATCATGGAAGAAAAGTGTGGGGTTACCAGGGAAAACAACCCTGAACATTTAATCAAAGCTTCTGGGTCAATGCACTTCAGTTTAGTTTACTTATACATCACAAATTTACAGTATGTGTTGCTTCAACAGGCCACACGACAAACAAATCCGGTTTATAGTGTATATAAATAGTCATAGAAGAACATTACCTGACCATAAAGCTAAAGCACAGACACAATGAGTGATCATGTTGGTGTAGTTTAAAATTCAATGCATGTGCAACGTTTGTTTCGAGGACATGAATGAGAGCCGTTCATAATCCATATAACTTTAAAGTTCTTATTTAGTTTAATATACATGTTTAGTTTATTATACATGTTTATTTATACATATTTAGTTTTCCTTTATAGCTAAATACTTTATGTAGGTTTATATATTTGAGAGACTATGGCTTCTGAAGCATCGGTGGACAAAGTACTCAACTTTAGTACCTGAGTACAAGTATTGATGTTAATAATGAAATTTTACTAAACTACAAGTAAAAGTTACTCAGTTAAAAATCTACTCAAGTTAAAGTAGGCAACTACTTACTTTTGAAACTACTTAAGTATTTAACATTTCTGTGTAATTTTCAACAAAGAAAAAACAGCAACAGCAGATTAAAAAGCTAAGCTGAGTCAAAAGGAACGACTTCCTCTACAGGTGCTGGTCATAAAATTAGAATATCATGAAAAAGTAGATTGATTTCAGTAATTCCATTTAAAAAGTGAAACTTGTATATTATATTCATACATTACATACAAGCTCATATATTTCAGATGTTTATTTTGTTTAATTTTGATGATTACAAATGACAACAAATGAAAATCTCAAATTCATCATATCAGAAAATTAGAATATTACTGAAGACCAATAAAAACAAAGGATTTATAGAAATGTTGGCCAACTGAAAAGTATGAACATGAAAAGTATGAGCATGTACAGCACTCAGTATTTAGTTGGGCCTCCTTTGGCCTGTATTACTGCAGCAATGCGGCGTGGCATGGAGTCGATCAGTCTGTGGCACTGCTCAGGTGTTATGATAGCCCAGGTTGCTCTAATAGTGGCTTTTAGCTCTTCTGAATTGTTGGGTCTGGTGTATTGCATCTTCTTCTTCACAATACCCCATAGATTTTCTATGGGGTTAAGGTCAGGAGAGTTTGCTGGCCAATTAAGAACAGGGATACCATGGTCCTTCAACCAGGTACTGGTAGCTTTGGCACTGTGTGCAGGTGCCAAGTCCTGTTGGAAAATGAAATCTGCATCTCCAAAAAGTTGGTCAGCTGCAGGAAGCATGAAGTGCTCTAAAACTTCCTGGTATGTGGCTGCGTTGACCCTGGACCTCAGAAAACACAATGGACCAACACCAGCAGATGACATGGCACCCCAAACCATCACTGACTGTGGAAACTTTGCACTGGACTTCAAGCAACGTGGATGAAGTGCCTCTCTTCTTTTCCTCCAGACTCTGGGACCTTGATTTCCAAAGGAAATGCAAAATTTACTTTCATCAGAGAACATGACTTTGGACCACTCACCAGCAGTCCAGTCCTGTTTCTCTTTAGCCCAGGCAAGACGCTTCTGACGCTGTCTGTGGTTCAAGAGTGGCTTGACACAAGGAATGCGACAGCAGAAACCCATGTCTTTCATACGTCTGTGTGTGGTGGTTCTTGAAGCACTCACTCCAGCTGCAGTCCACTCTTTGTGAATCTCCCCCACATTTTTGAATGGGTTTTGTTTCACAATCCTCTCCAGGGTGCGGTTATCTCTCTTGCTTGTACACTTTTTTCGACCACATCTTTTCCTTCCCTTCGCCTCTCTATTAATGTGCTTGGACACTGAGCTCTGTGAACAGCCAGCCTCTTTAGCGATGACCTTTTGTGTCTTGCCCTCCTTGTGCAAGGTGTCGATGGTCGTCTTTTGGACAACTGTCAAGTCAGCAGTCTTCCCCATGATTGTGTAGCCTATAGAACTAGACTGAAAGACCATTTAAAGGCTTTTGCAGGTGGTTTGAGTTAATTAGCTGATTAGAGTGTGGCACCAGGGGCCATCAATTTTGAACCTTTTCACAATATTCTAATTTTCTGATATGATGAATTTGAGATTTTCATTTGTTGTCATTTGTAATCATCAAAATTAAACAAAATAAACATCTGAAATATATGAGTTTGTATGTAATGTATGAATATAATATACAAGTTTCACTTTTTAAATGGAATTACTGAAATCAATCTACTTTTTCATGATATTCTAATTTTATGACCAGCACCTGTAGTGGAGTAGAAAGTACAATATCTGACTTTAAAATGTAGTTGACTAAAGAAAGTCAAAAAAGGACTTAAGTATAGAAATCAAGTCAATTTACTTTGTTACTTTCTACCACTTTATAGAAGTTAGAAGTAAGACCTTGTTCCACGAGGATAGAGGTCTGTGAAAGAGCCTTCGGTTTAGCCCTGTCGCCAAAACCGAGCCAGCTTGTTCTAAAACAAATCTGCAGCAAAACTAAAAACATATATCATTAGAGAAAAAAAATGCATCACCGAAAGCGGGAATTACTGTTAATTTCTTCAATTTTACTTTATATAGTTACTCTTTTACCTTTTCAAAACCAATATCTGATTTTATATTGTTTTGTTTTTCAGTGTTTGATTCAGAAATGTTTGAATGTTCAACACCAAATCTCCTTTTTAGTGTCAATTCAAACAGTAACCAGTGTGGCTCCATATTTTACCATCCTCTGTTTTGCTTTTTTTATATTTGCATTTGTTGTGCTTTTATGTTCTTTTCTATTCCCAGCCAGCTGGGAATTTATGTTTCTGATACTTTAAGATGTTTATTGCCCTCCCATGTAGGAGTGGTAAAATATCTTATTTAATCAGATATTATTTCAGCTGTTATATAGTGTTTATGACACACAGTCCTACTAACTGTGTGTTAGAACAATAGATGAAAGATTGATTCGAGCACTAATCATGGTCAAACAGTTAATAAGACACCAGGCATCTGAGGAACACATAAACACTAATGTTATATCAGTGTTTAACCCTTAGTGAATAAAGCTTGTCCAAGCTTTAGCAACAGCTCAACACATATTCCTGTAGCATAGCGTAGCATGCAGTCTATTCTTTAGCGTCAATTATCATCGTCTTTACTCAGCAGTAAACACGTGATATGATTAGCATCATCAAAAGACATACTGTTTGGTCTGTCCCTAATTATGCCAGACCTACAAACCTTTTTTGCAGAACTCCCCCAGCTGTTATTCACCAAAGCTGCGTGTTCTCCTCTGGTCATCCTATCAAGATGAAATCTGGACACTGGTTCCCAATGACCAAAAATTATGATCATGGCATATGGCACAACACATTCATTGGATTATTCCTGTAATAAACCTGTAGAAAAAGACATTCAAGAAAATAAAGTGGTCCAATATGTCTTTTAATATTAAATATATACATTCCAATCAAATCCTACACAGCAAAAAGTTTAAAAAATGAAAAGGCATGGATTCCAGTTAGGTCCTTGTAAGTTCAGTTTATCAATGAAATTAATAAAAGGTTTGGCATCTAAGAAAAACCAGCTGATTCCACCCAGTGAACGTCTTTGCAGCAATCCCTCCTTGGCATTCTGTCAGCTTTGCAGCAATCCCTTACATTCTCATGCATGTGGAGACAGTGGAAAGGCACATGATCAAAGCATAATCATGCCAAAGTTTAGATAAAAGCTAAATTAAAAATCTTTAGCAAAACTTTCATTATTTCGTTAGGACATTCTTTCCCTCCAACCCCACTAAGCTTAAGCATTTTTTTCAAGGAAGTGAGATAGCTGAAAATGTTAAGAACTGTTACACCTGCAACTGTAACCCCAGTAAGAAATTTTTCTAACTGGTATTCTCTAAGGCACGCATCCCCAACCTCGGTCCTCGAGGCCCGTTGTCCTGCA